CGGGATCCTGCGGGGACTTTGCCGGGATTTGCCGGGATATTTTCGTTTGGGGACCCCCAGGTTGGTATCGTTTCACCGATCCCCATCCCCATTTCCATCCCCTTCGAGACCCCCACCAAATTACCACCCCAGTTGGGGATACACCCCTCGAAACCCGAAAGGAACGGCCTATATCCCCATCTATGGGGGTAAATCGGCCAGTGGGGCCCAGGCCACGCCGCTGGGGATGGGGATCGGTTAAACGGTACTCACCAGGGGCGGCCCCGCGCGCGCGAACTAGAATATTGGTAACCAGTCGCCGGAGACCTTAGCACGCCCCTTGGCCCGTCGGGCCGGCGAACTAGTATTTTAAATCGTTTCGCTCATTCTGGCCCTCGTTTTGAGCCTCTTGGGGGCCTCGTGTGGCCTGGTCTCCACGGGGCTCTCTTGGGTCGGGCCGACGAGTTTACTCCCGACCGGCTGATTGCCTACCAGCCAGCGCCTTTGGCCGTCGTCTCCACAGCAGTCTCGCAGCGTTCCCTACTCTCCCCCTCATCAGACCTTCTCCTTCTCGTTCTTCCGCATGAAGGGCTGCGCCAACTGAAGGCGCCAATGTGCTAAGCAGAGCAGTACTTTGCTTGGACAGGCCCAGCAGTCGATGACGTCCTGGTGCGTGACTCTAACTCTGCGAGGTGGGCTGTGAGCTCCTCTCCATGATTTCGAAGAAACACATGGACCAAGACCGACCAGTCTTCGTTCCGATTCGTAATGGCAAGGTCATCGAGGGCAACATTTATGTCCAGCAGGGGAAGGTCAAGTACGAATATCGAAGACGCCTACGGCGAATCACCGCCGCTCCCTGCCTTTTTGGAAACGCCTATGTGGCTGAACGTTGAGGCCAGACCGGCCAAGCTATCGGGCCATGTGTTCCTCGAATCGGTTTGGAAAGGTTTCGGGGAACACGTGGGCTTCTTGAAGGTCATCTTGGCCGCCTGGAGGCCATTTTGACCCTTTCGGGCCTTCTTGGAGGACGTCTTGGATGGCTCTTGGGCCATCTTGGAGGCCATCTTGAGCGTCTTGGAGGCCTCTTGGGCCGTCTTGGGGGCCTTTTGAGGCCGTCTTGGGTCTCTTGGGCGATCTTTTTGGGCACTTGGGCCGTCTCGGGCCGTCTCGGGCCGTCGGAAGGCCGAACAAAAAGCAAATGCCACAATCTTGCAAAAACTCGTCGGAAAGCAATCATTCTGGCCTATTCGGGCCTTCCTGGAGGCCCTCTTGGAGGCCTCTTGGGCCGTCTTGGGCCGTCTTGGGCCATCTTAGTGCCATCTTCGGCCGTCTTGGTGGGCCCCTGGCCCATCCGACGCGGTCGGAAGCCGTTTGGGGGGCCTCTCTGAGCCGACTTGGGGCCCTCTTGGAATGCTCCAGGGCTGTCTCTTGGAGGGCATCTTGGGCGTCTTCAAGCCTCCTGGGCCGTCTTGGGGGCCTCTTGGGAACGTCTTGGGGGCCTCTTGAGCCGTTCTGGGGCCATCTTGGAAGCCTCTTGGGCGATCTGTGAGGCCTCTTGGGCCGTATCGGGCCGTCGGAAGGCAGAATTGAAGCAAATGTCAAATCCTTCAAACACCTAGGGACAATTCGTGTTTGTTGCCTTTTCTGCCCTTCCGGGAGGCCCTCTTGGAGGCCTCTTGGGCCGTCTTGGGCCAGCTTCGAGCCAACTTCGGCCATCTTGGTGGGTTCCTGGCCTGTTGACGCCGTCGGAAGCCGTTTTGGGGGCCTTTCTGGTTCGATTTGGGGCCCTCTTGGGGTGCTCCAGGGCCGTCTTAGAGGCCATCTTGGGCGATCTGTGAGGCCTCTTGAGTCGTCTTTGTGCCCTCTTGGGCCCGTCTTGGGGGCCTCTTGGGCAGTCCTGCGGCCATCTTGGAGGCCTCTTGGGCGCTGTGGGGGCGATCTTGGGGGCCTCTTGGGCAGTCTTGGGTCGTCGGAAAGCCGAGAAGAAGCGAATGCAAAATTTCTTCAAACCCCTAGGGACAATGCTGATGTTGGCCTCTTCGGGCCCCCCTGGAGGACCTCTTGGAGGCCTCTTGGGCCGTCTTGGAGGCCTCTGGGTGGCCTCTTGGGCCGTCTTGGGCCGTCTTGGCCTCTCGGACCGTCTTGGAGGCCGTCTTGGACCATCTTGGACGAACTTGGAGGCCATCTTGGGCCAGCATGGCTATCTTGGAGGCTATCTTGCGCCGTCTTGGAAGATTTTTTGCGGGATTGAGGTCCCGGAGGTCCGGTGCGGGCACCCCGGCGGGACGCGCCGAAGCCCCAGGGGAAGCTATTTTGGAAAAAGAGCCAAAACCAAAACCGAAAGGGTCTAGCACGCCAGGCACCCCTGCGATGAATCGACAGGAGGCGGCGGATATTGTGGCCTTCGGCGTATCCCGTCACCGTGCCTAGGCGCTAGGTAGCGGGTATGAGACCTCTTGGATGCCTGTTTGCGTCTCTCGTGGGGCCTCCCGGACGTCTCTTGGGGACGCTTCGGGCGAACATTGGAGGGTTTATCGGGGGCCTCTTGGGCGCTTCCTGGGGCGTGATCTGGGCCTCCCGGGGGGCCCCCTGGGGCTCTGGGGGTCCCCAGAGGGGGGTGGGTGGGTGGGAAGGGAGGCTGCGGGCCCCTCGGAGCGCTCCTGGCGGCGCTCTTGGTGCTCGTTTTTTTTGGGGGGTGGGGGGGTGGGTTGGAGGCCGTCTTTGGGCCGCTAGAGGCAACTTTTTTGGGGGGGAGGCCTGGCCGCGTGGGGCTGGGACCCTCGCAGGCCCCTTAACCTGATCCGGGCTCGCGTGGGTCACTATGCAATGTTCACTTTGCTTCTTCGAAGAGTTATTTGGTTACCTTGGGGGCCAAGATCCTGTCATTTCTGATCGTTCCATCCTGGGCCTCTTCCTGGCCACTGGGGGGGGGGCCAGGAGCAATTCGAAACGAGCACACTTAGAAGCCAGCACGATTAGAACTGAACGACGTGTACGCGCTGAGGTCTCTTGGATGCATCCCAGGGCCTCCTCGGATGCCTCTCGGGAGGCTCTCGGAGAGCTCTCGGGGACCTCTCGGGGGGTCTTCTCGAGGGCCGTGTGGGGGGCCTCTTGGGCTCTCTCGGGGGCGCCTCGTGGGCCTCGGGGAGCTCTTGTGAGGCCATCTTGAGAGGCCTCTCGGGGGCCTCTTGGCGGAGCGTTTTCGTTCGAGGATTGAGAGTCGTTAGCGCAGAGGGGGGAGAAGGAGGAGAGAAAGAGAGAGAGAGAGAGAGGAAAACAAAAAAACGGAAGGGTTAGTGAGACGATGGGCGGGCTCTCGTGGGCCTCTTGGCGGTATTTCTGAGCCTCCTGGGGCGTCGAGGGGGCCTCTCGGGGGTCCTCTCGGGGGTCTCTTGGGGCCTCTCGGGGGCCTCTTGGGAACTTCTTGGGGTTCTATCGAGGCCTCCAAGGAACCTCTCTGCGCCTCGAGCTCGACAGGTCCGTTCGGGTCCCTCGTCTTAGCCCGCTCTTGGAGCCGTCTTGGGGGCCTCTTCAGCCATCTTGGAAGCCTCTGGAGCTGTCTAGGGGCCCTCTGGGGCTTCTGTGGGCGCTCTTGGAGGGCGATTGGGCCGTGTTGGAGCGATCCTGAAAGCATCTGGGGCCACGCTGGAGCGCCAGTGAGCCCCCAAGGCGGGAACGGCAAAAGCCTTCAAACATCAAAGAACAGCCGCTTATTTCTGCCTCTGTGGGCCCTCGTGGTGGGCCTCTTGGGGCCTCTGGGGGGTCTCTTGGGGCCTCTCGGGGGCATCTTGACAGCTTCTTGGGGGCCTCTTGGAGCCTCCAGGTTACCTCTCTGCGCCTAGAGCTCGACATGTCCTCTCGGGTCCCTCGTCCGGGCCCGCTCTTGGAGCCGTCTTGGGAGCCTCTTCGGCCATCTTGGAAGCCTCTGGGGCTGTCTATGGGCCCTCTGGGGCAGTCGTGGGCGCTCTTGAAAGCTTCTTGGGCCGTGTTGGGGCGATCCTAAAAGCCTCTTTGGCCTTCTTGGAGCGCCGGAAAGCTCCCAAGGCGAAAATGCCAAACACCTTTAAAAACTGAAGGGGAATCACTAATTCTTGGCTCTGTGGACCCTCTGGGGATGTCTCTTGGGGGTCTCTTGGGGCATCTCGGGGGCCTCTGGGGGCTTCTTAGGCGCCTCTTCGGGCTCGCAGAGAACCTTGCGGCGTCTAGAGCTCACCATGTCCGTTCGGGTCCCTCGTCTGGGCCCACTCTTGGGGCCGTCTTGGGAGCTTCGTCGGCCATCTTGGAAGCCTCTGGGGCTGTCTAAGGCCTCGGGGGCCGTTGTGGGCTCGCTTAGATGGCTACTGGAGGCGCTCTTGGAGGCCTCTTGGGCCATGTTGGGGCGATCCTGGAAGTCTCTGGGCCTTCTTGGAGCGCCGGTAAGCTCCCAAGGCGAGAATGCCTAAAACCTCAAAAACTATTGGACAATCACTAGTTTCTGCCTCTGTTGGTTGTCTTGGGAGGTCTCTTGGAGGCCTCTTGGGGCGTCTTGCAGGCGCTTTGGGCTGTCTGGTGGCCATATTTGGCGTCCTGTATCGCTCGTGGGCCGTCGCGGGCCATGTTGAGCTCTCTTGGAGGCCGGTTGAAGCGCTCCTGGAAGGCTCCTAGGAGCCTGCTGGGACCTGGCCTGGACCTGCCCGGGATCCTGCGGGGACTTTGCTGGGATTTGCCGGGATATTTTCGTTTGGGGACCCCCAGGTCGGTATCGTTTCACCGATCCCCATCCCCGTCTCCATCCCCTTCGAGACCCCCACCAAATTACCACCCCAGTTGGGGATACACCCCTCGAAACCCGAAGGGAACGGCCTATATCCCCATCTAGGGAGGTAAATCGGCCAGTGGGGCCCAGGCCACGCCGCTGGGGATGGGGATCGGTTCAACGGTACTCACCAGGGGCGGCCCCGCGCGCGCGAACTAGAATACTGGTAACCAGTCGCCGGAGACCTTAGCACGCCCCTTGGCCCGTCGGGCCGGCGAACTAGTATTTTAAATCGTTTCGCTCATTCCGGCCCTCGTTTTGAGCCTCTTGGGGGCCTCGTGTGGCCTGGTCTCCACGGGGCTCTCTTGGGTCGGGCCGACGAGTTTACTCCCGACCGGCTGATTGCCTACCAGCCAGCGCCTTTGGCCGTCGTCTCCACAGCAGTCTCGCAGCGTTCCCTACTCTCCCCCTCATCAGACCTTCTCCTTCTCGTTCTTCCGCATGGAGGGCTGCGCCAATTGAAGGCGCCAATGTGCTAAGCAGAGCAGTACTTTGCTTGGGCAGGCCCAGCAGTCGATGACGTCCTGGTGCGTGACTCTAACTCTGCGAGGTGGGCTGCGAGCTCCTCTCCATGATTTCGAAGAAACACATGGACCAAGACCGACCAGTCTTCGTTCCGATTCGTAATGGCAAGGTCATCGAGGGCAACATTTATGTCCAGCAGGGGAAGGTCAAGTACGTGAAGGGCTGCGCTAATTGAAGGCGCCAATGTGCTAAGCAGAGCAGTACGTTGCTTGGACAGGCCCAGCGGTAGCAGTCGATGGAGTCGGCAGCTCCTCGCGCGGCACCTTTTCATTTTATCTCGGCATGGGCGCTCTAAGAGTGACAATATTCGTCACCTGGAGCCCCGTGCTTGTGATCATTTGCTCTTGGCTCGGATTCTGAGTGGCAATCCCTCGCCACCAGCAAAGACAGAGAGGAGAGAAACCATGCATCTTAGAGGTACGTAGCATCCCGCAGATGCGGATAAGAGCGATGTGGCGGTGGGGACTCTGGCAGTTTGCACAAATTATGCAATGAGCCCGCCGCAGGCGCCGATTTTTTCGTCAAACCAATGTGGGTAAGTCGAGGGTGGGTCGCAAATGGGTCGTTGGTTGGTCGCGGGTGGGTCGCTGGTGGGTCGCGGGTGGGTCGCGGGTGGGTCGCGGGTGTAGGGTGCAGCACATCCACCCCATAATAGTCACACCCCGACAAGCGAAGCCGTTAAGTAAAAGCACGCAAACAAAGAATCGAACAGGGCAGGGCTGTTTAGTCAACGCCCAGGGCCGTTTAGTAAATGTCAATCGTCGGGTCCGGGTCGCGGGTGGGTGGGTCGCGGGGTGGGTCGCGGGTGGGTCGCGGGGGGGTCGCGGGTTGGGTCGCGGCGTGGGTCGCGGGTGGGTCGCTACATTTACAACAACAACAACAGCAACAACCCCAACAACACCAACAACAACATCAACAACACCAACAACAACAGCAGCACCAACAACAACAGCAGCAGCAACATCAACAGCAACACCAACACCACCAACAACAGCAACCCAATAACAACAACCGCAACACCACCAGCAAGAACAACACTAACACCAACAACATCAACACCAATAGCCACACCATTGCCAACAATCGTAACACCCACATCAACAACATCACACACCAGCAGTAGTACAACAACCATAGCAACAACAACAGTGTCTTTAAGACTGTTCGATCTTACCTGCTCGAGTGTCTGTTAACGCGTCGTCGATCGTGCCCAGTTTGGGGTGTGTGACTTCCTTCCCTGCAGGCAGGGCCCCCGGCAAGTGGCGGGGGCGGCCCGCCGACCGGCGGCCTGGCCAGCGGCAGCGCTGAGCTGCGGCAGCCTGGCCCCAAGAGGGACGGACAGGGGGCCGACCACGACGACGACGGCGACGACGATGACGGCGACAGGGGTCATTCCGATTCCGCCGGTTCGATTCGAATAGATTTCCGCGATTCCGATTTCGAACCGACTCGATTCCGGGATTCCGATTCGCGATTCCGATTTCGAGGTCGCCCGATCCGGCTTCTGCCGATTCGATGCGTCAGCCGATTCCTGCCGGCTTTCCGGCTTCGCTCCGGCTCTGGCCCCCAAGGGGAGGAGGTGGAGGGAGGGGGAAACCCCAGGGGGGAGTCCCCCCTCCCACCCCAGAGGCGGGGTCCAAAAGCTCCGCCCAAACCCGGGGGGTCTTCCAAAAGCCCCGGGACCCCAAACCCCCCGGTTTTCCAAAAGCCCCGGGACCCCAAACCCCCCCCAGAGGGGAAGTCTTCCAAAAGCCCCGGGACCCCAAACCCCCCCCAGAGGCGGGGTCTTCCAAAACCCCCGGGACCCCAACCCCCCCCCAGGGGGGGGGGTCCAAAAGCCCCGGGACCCCAAACCCACCCCAGGGGGGGGGGGGGTCCAAAACCCCCGGGACCCCAAAGGGAGGGGTTTTCCAAAACCCCCGGGACCCCAAACCCTCCCCACTTCGTGAGTTTGGGGTTTGCGCCTTTATAAACAATTTTTAACATTATCTAAGAGTGCTTATAAGCGACTCAAGTCAACTTATAACGAACCCACCACCAGTTATACATCGGCCAACTTGTTAGCCAGTTCAAATACATATTTATAGTTCTCGTGAGAATACTATATTGTTATATGTTTGTTGGGCCTATCAGAACACACTAAGCACACATTATAACTTTTTAGTGTAACGCATGCGCATGCTTTATATTCTTGTAGATGGAATTGTAAGCCAGTTTGGAAAAGTTGTAAGAAATTATAACAGTTATAGAAAGTTACGAAAAGTTGAGAAATCCACTACAAATTGCCGACGCTTCGCGTATCCCCACCAGCCCATCCAGAAACGACGTGTGGGAGGGTGTGATGGTTGCGCGAGCAGTGGAGATGACGACTTCAAGTTGCACAAGTGGGGTTCTGGCCCATATATTAGGTTATGGCCCATATATGGTTCTGGCCCATATAGGGTTCTGGCCCACTGGCCCATATAGGGTTCTGGCCCATAGGGTTCTGGCCCATAGGGCTGTGGCCCATGGGGTTCTGGCCCATGGGGTTCTGGCCCATAGGGTTCTGGCCCATAGGGTTCTGGCCCATAGGGTTCTGGCCCATAGGGTTCTGCCCATGGGGTTCTGGCCCATGGCCCATAGGGTTCTGGCCCATAGGGTTCTGGCCCATAGGGGCCATAGGGTACTGGCCCATAGGGTTCTGGCCCATAGGGTTCTGGCCCATAGGATTCTGGCCCATAGGGTTCTGGCCCATAAGGTTCTGGCCCATAGGGTTCTGGCCCGTAGGGTTCTGGCCCATGTGGTTCTGGCCCATAGGGTTCTGGCCCATAGGGTTCTGGCCCATAGGCTTCTGGCCCATAGGGTTCTGGCCCATAGGGTTCTGGCCCATAGGGTTCTGGCCCGTAGGGTTCTGGCCCATAGGCTCCTGGCCCATAGGGTTCTGGCCCATGGGGTTCTGGCCCATAGGGTTCAGGCCCATCGGGTTCTGGCCCATAGGATTCTGGCCCCTCGGGTTCCGATGGCCACACCAAGGGAGGATGACAGGAATTGGGGGGGCGTTGTTGGAATAGCCAACACTGAACTGCTACGGGCGCTCTTTAGGGGGTCCGCAAAAGCGCTACTACGTCATAGTGAACCCTTGGAGTCCACAGGGGGGTCACTCGCCGTAACCTGTAGTGGGGGGGTGGGTGTTCCCAAGCGGCCCCAAGAGCTCCCCCCCTCCCCGAGGCGCCCAAGACGCCCAAGAGCCTCCCTCGACCGCCAAGGTACCCCCCCCCCCAGAAACCACAAACAACGTCCAACAGGCGTCCACGAGACATCCGAGAGGCGTTCAATATGCCTCTGGCTATTCGGCTGGTCCTCGCCCTCCTTCCTCGCCCACCTCTTCCAACTCCTTCTCCTCCTCAGCCCTCTCCTTCTCCCCCTTATCCCCGTCCTCCTCATCTTCCTCCTCCTCCTCCTCCTCCTCCTCCTTCTCCTCCTCCTCCGCCTACGCCCTAGACGGCTGGTTGGATTTACGAGTGAGTTGCGTAACGCCCGAGAAGCCCTTAAGAAGCCCCCCCCCCCAACGAGGCCCCCAGAGGCACGCTAAGCGGCCAGCGAGAAGCCCCACTAAGCCCCCATGAGGCGTCCACGATACCCCTAAGAAGCCACCAAGAGATCCCGCGAGGGCTCGGGTGCTGTCGACGTTTAGGCCCAAGTTGCATGTCTTGGCGATGGCCAAAAGACCGCCCCAGGATGTTTCCTCGAGACCGCCCGACAAAAAGGCTCGGATTCTGCAGGGCGTTCGAGACGGGGGGTTGCGGGTGTCGAGCAGCGCCGTCGCCAGAATCACAGCTGGTTTAGTAGATGTGGACGCGAGCACGGCCAGCAACGCAGGGAAAACCGTGGCCGACCATGTGCGTGGCTTATCCAACCAATACGGCCACGTATTGCAGACGCTGTCTCTGCCAACCGTTGGCGGCGGCGTCCTTGAGTGGACGGTCATTCATCCAGCTGCCCTGTTGCATCATCTGTTCACGTTCGATTCGTTCGGCCGTTTTGTTTCTACATATTTGAAAGGTAAGATTGGCCGCCTCATTAGCTCGTGGCCTTCGGCCCACCCTGCCACTGTGCCTTGGTTGTGGGTCAGAGGCTTGAAATTTTATAATCCGTGGAACAGGGAACATAACACAGACACCACGTGAGGACCTGAGGACACTCCAGCTCGTGCGAGGCACGGCGGCGGATATGGGGAGACGAGGTCGTCACGGGCAACCAACTTCGGCCCGACAGCGTGGGGAAATTCGTGGCGTTGTACTGGACCCTTGGGGAGTTCCCAGAAGCGTTCAGGGCTTCCGACGAGGGGTGGTTCCCCATTGGTGTGCTGGAATACAAGTTGTTGAAGTCTGTTGCGGGAGAATACGCGGGGGTCCTCAAGAGTGTGTTGCACATGTTTTTCACGGGTCTGCTCAATTTTAAGTCGGGCATTCGTTTGTCGGAGGGGTGTCGAGACGGCAGCGCGTTCGTGCTGCAGTGCACCCTGTTGTGTTTCATCCAAGACGAGAAGGCCCACAAGGAGGTTCGGATATCCTCCCCCCTCGCCCTCCTCCCCCCCCTTCCCCCTCATCATCACCCCCTCCTCTTCCTCCCGCCTCCTCCGCCCTTCCCCCCAGTGTTCCCGCCCGTCCCCACGCGCCCCCTGTCACCCCCCTCCCCAACCATCCTCGCCCACTCTCCCCTCTTAGGCGAAAAGCCTCAAGGGTGCGGCTGGATGCCACTGCTGCGGCAAATGCAAGAACATGCACGTGTTTCGCGCTTCCGCCGCCCAAGGAGACGATGACGATTAGGACGGTGATGATGATGATGGTGATGATGATGATGATGATGGTGATGTTGATGATGATGATGATGATGATGATGCTGATGATGAGGAGGAGGAGGACGAGGAGGAGGAATGTACGAGGAGGAGGGGGCGAGGAGGAGAGAGGAAGGAGGAGGAAGGGGGATGGGGGGAGGAGGAGGGGAAGGGGATGAGGAAGAAGGAAGGAGGAGGAGGATGAAGGAAGGAGGAGGATGAGGAGGGAGGGGGGAGGGGACGGGAGTGGGAGGAGGAGGAGTAGGAGGAGGAGGGGAGGAGGAGGATCAATGAGGAAGGAGGAGAGCACAAGGGTGAGGATGGGGGATGAGGGCGGTGGGGGGGGGGGGGGGGGGGTATTGAATTTTTTCGTGAAGGAGGATGAGGCTGAGAGGGGCGAAAGGAGGAGAGACGCGAAGAGGAGAAGGGAAGGATGAGGGGGAGGAAAAGGGAAGGATAATGATTAGCATGACGGGGAAGGAGGGGAGAAGGAGGCAGTAGGGGGAGGGGGGTAGGAGAAAGACGAAGAGGAGGGATATTAGGATGATGATTGTCTGAGGAGTGATGATGGAGGATGAAAGAGGAAACGATGAGGAGGAGGAGGAGGCGGAGGATGAAGGAGGAGGAGGAGGATGGGAGGGGAGGGACGATGCGGAAGGTGAGAT